AAAAAAAAAAAAAAAGAATTAATGAAAAGAATCAGATAAAAATATTAGAACACCCAGAGCTTTTAAGTTATGTAAATCTCAAAAACAGGTCCTCTGTATTGAATTGCCATTTGTCCTTGAGTTGCCATTTGAAAGTTATCTGTGAAAATGGAGTTAAGAGTCACTTTTAACTTAAATAGTCTAATTTAAATTTCAATATAGGATTGCTTTAGCAGGAATACAAAGTAATTATATTAAGTAATGGAAGAGGACAGAAAATGAATACACTGAATGGTGGGAATGGCACTTTTATATTTACAGCTTAAAGGTACATTCACAATTTTTTTTTTCACAATTGTGTCCTTTAAATGGAGAAAGAATTAAAGAAGTCCTAATTTCTTTAATTGTCCATCAGTTACTAATCACATGTTCCAGTGCTGCTTCCTGAATGTTTTTATATAGTGTCTTCTATATAGAATGTGAGCAAATTATTAATTGAGGGAATGAGTATAAAGTTTCAAAGTTAATATAGTCAAAGAAAAGGCTACTTGTTAAACTGTTGGTTTGATTGATTTTACAATGAAAAAAAGACCTCTTAAGGATACTGATATTCAATTATAGTTTCTTTTTTTTATTATTTTTTTCAGTTATAGTTTCTGTCTTGAAATAATTCTTTTTAATTTAGCAAGTCGTTTATTTTGTTGCCTCAGTGGAACAGTTGTTTCAACCCTAACGTTAAGCTACGAAACGGTTTTTCCTCTCCCTTTGGAATGAGCAAATTTCTGTGAACTGATGATCACTTTAAGCCACACATCCAGTCCAAGTATCACACGGGCAAATGAGAACTATTCAGTAAGACAACAAGCATTTGCTTCACAACACATAACGATGCCGAGTGGTCTCACCGCTCAGGAATGATGAGATGGTGGAATGGAAAATGAAAGAGCCAGAGGGTGGGTCTCTGAACCCCAAAGGAAAAGAAAGAAAAGCTTATCCACCTTGCAGCGCACCCTCGCGGTCTGGGGGGTGGTAGTTGTTGTTGGTCGCGTCCACGTCGTGGAAAGAGGCAGCGGGAGGCGCTCGCCCGCACTCGCCCTGGTGCGGAGCGCAGTGGGTAGCACCGTCGGGGGGCAGCGGGTGCGGGGGCTGGTGCGGGGGGCTCCTCCGCAGCGCGCGCAGGGACGAATTCCTCTCGGGAATGTCCGGCAGCAGTTCGCTGATAAGACGGTGCAATATGCTGTTGTCTGGCAAACTCCCCCTTCTCTTCTCGGCTTTAATCTGGTCACAGATGTCTTTAAGGGCAGAGTCCAGGGCCTCAAACACAGACGCTTTACATTTCGCCTTTTCAGTCTGTTTTTTCGGAGTCGAATTTTTTTTCCTCCGGAAAGGCACGGGACTGACTAGAAAAGCAAGTTTGGAGAGGCCGGGGTCCACCTCCTGTCTTCTGGGCTCGTCGGCGCTTTCGTGCCTGGCTCTCTCGTGTTTCAGCATCGTGGTGAAGCGCGTGTAGGAGGCCGGGCACCTGCCTTTGCAGGAGCTGAACAGGTGCCGGTGGTGGTGGTGGTGGTGGTGGTGGTGGTGGTGGTGGCTGGACCCGTAAAAGCTTTCAGAGGAGGTGAAGGAAAAGTGATCGAAGTCGCTTTCACTGCAGAAGGATGACCCTTCCACGTGGATGTAGTCACTGTGGTCAGACACGACCCCATCCTGGTCGCTGTCGGAAAATTCCACGTGCGCTCTCGGTTGCTCGTCGCTGGTGACTTCGATGTGGATGGGCACCAGGGTTTTGGACGTGTAGCTGCGCGGTACCTGAGAAGGGTGTCTACTCTGAGTTTCTTCCTCCAGCAAAGACTCAATGGAAAAGCGCCTCTTGGGACATAAACCATTCTGTTGCGGTTCTAGGGTTACAGGGGATAGCATTTCGTCCCCTAAATTCGGCATGGATTTCGACTTTTGAATCAACTTCTCGAACTCGGAGATGCGGGTGGGTACCATGTCCCGGGGCACCTCCTCGGTGGAGGACTGGCTCCAGCTGTGCAGCAGGCCCGAGCGCTGCCGCTCCTTCTCGTACTGCAGGATTCTCGACTTCACCGAGCAGATCACCTCCGAGCTCATCAGGTCCTTGCGGTTGATGCGGTGCATCTTCTTGTACATTTTCAGGAAGCCTGGGGCGTTGTGGGCGGACCTGTGTCTGAGCCTTGATCTGCCGTTACTGCGAACCTCCTGGATGTAGGGGGTAGCCCACGGCACGGGGCAGCTCTCATTCGGGTCCTCCTCGCACAACAGGGAGCCCATGCTCTCCGACTTGGCTTTCGGGTCAGGGAAGCTATCGCAGTCGTCGTTCAGGAGATCATCGCAGCTCCGGGATTTGATTTTGGGGGAAACGGTTTCTTCGGTGCTGCTCCAGATTTCTGCGTTTTGTCGGGCCATTTGCCAGCCATTCTTGAAAGTGATGGCCCTTTGCGAGTCCCGCGGCACGTCCAAGTGCTGTCTGTAATTGCTACAGTAATCTAACTCACTGGCGGGGGTGCCGTTGAGCCCTGAGTAACTGCAAAGGGATGGACACATTTTGCTATCATCCCCACCTTTTAATCCAGAGCAGCGTGGTAGAAGAGAGACATTTGGAGAAGTTAAAAGGTTCACAAAGAGAGGAGAGCATTGTCAGTAAGCATCAGACAGCACAGCAAAGAGAAAGCAGTTAGTGTGTTTTAATCTAAACACTGATTGTTAACACATGTAGCCTCAAGTTCAGAGAAAAAAGTCTGATTCTAAGGCAAGATAATACTTTTTCAGTGAACATAGCTTTGCAGACAGAGTTAACAAAACGATGTATAAGAAGTAATTGGTATAGCTAATGTAACTATTTCTATTACATAGTTCATACATCTTCCTGCCAGTAGGGTTTGCCAAAAACACAATAGTACTTCTTCAGCTAATAGCATGACCTGGTAGTAATTTAAAGGTTTAACAATTAGGGCCAAAAGTATTATAGACTTAATAGGGTCAGGATTTGAGTGTCGTTTGATTTATAATAATACATAGGTAAAGAAGAATTTATAAATTTACATTTAATTAATATTCCCATAACTACATCAAATATTTTTTGTGGGCATTGGTTAGAAAAAGCTAAAAGACAAAGTATTTTCAAAAATTACAGAATTAAAATTCTGTGAACTATTTGTACTTATATTTTTCCAAGAAAAAAATAGCAAGGGCCTCTTTCAACAAGCTAATTTACCTCTCTAATTGCTTTACCTTTAACCCCTTATCAGGCACATTTTTCTCATAGTATAACTGGGTATCATGTAAAACTTTCATCAGAGGCAAACACTTACTTTTATTCAGGGGAGGGTTTTTATCTTTTTAAATCACTTGCAGTTTGATAATAGCTAAACTTGACCTCAATTTGGAATATGTATGGAAATATTCTTTTCTTTTGCTCTGCTGAGTTAACTAATAAATGAGAG